GATGAAATAAAAAGAAGTCTCTGACACCTCATGCTATCTTGACCTTATAAATGAAACCAGTTTAAATATGTGCATATTCCTTTAAAATATGAAAGTTATAATGCTGTACCATTGTCTCGGGTGTGTTTCCAAGAAGAAGTCAAAACCAGGTGCTTTCTTCATTGCCTTTAAAGCCCTCAGTATCTGCATTGCCCTACCAGCAATCCATTTCTAATCATAGCTTCCCTTTGAAACCAAAGCATTTCAGGAGTTCTGTTACTGAAACATAATAATTTGATGTCACGCCATAATTTTATATAGATATGACACTATACAAAAAAGGATGGAGACACATTTATTTTTTGATCAATTGGATGACCTGACCCCTAGCTGGGGTGAATACCTTTGAATCAGAGGCAGCTCAGACCAAAGATACTGCATTAAAAAAAAATCCTGTTTCATTCCGGGGCAGGTTTAGACTTTTAAATTTAAAAGCCTTTTTTCAACACTATAATCTATTTCAACAGCTGCTTTCACCCAAGTCAAAGACAATGACCCTCCACCTCTTCCTCTGCTTCTCCAGGGTCCAGGTCTTCTGCTAGGCAGTAGGTTTGACTCCAGTATCAAGAGCCCAGTAGAACCATCCTAGGATTATAAGCACTTCTATCCAGTTCCTTCCTACATTTCCCCCCATTGCCCATGCTTTTTAGGGAATCTTCTCATAAGATACTGTTGAAATAAGAGGTTCACTTCCTCTTATAACTCACAGCAGTAGAGGATGTCCCTTTAGAGTTCAGGGGAAGTGAGGCTTATTCCCATTATGTTCTCATCCCAAAGAAGAAAGGGTGTTGATGTCCCATTATGGATCTTTGATATCTCAAAAAATTCCTCTATCATTTCAAGTCCAGGCTGGTGACTCTGGCTTTCATAACTCCCTCATTTGTGCCTAAAGACTGGTTCACAGCTCTTGACCTGCATGATACGTAATTCCATGCATTTATTAATCCAACCCACAAGATTCCTAGTGGGAACAGCATTTGGTCTTCCCACAACAATGAAGGTATACACCAAGTGCTTGGTATTTGTGGCAGCTCATCTAATGACATAGAGAATCCAGGTCTACCCATAACTTGATTACTGACTGATCCAGGGAGGATCACCCCAACAGGTGACCATCTCAATTCATATAATCTTAAAACTCTTTGTCACTCTGAGCCTCAAAATCAACAGAGAAAAATCCACACTGATTCTGTCTCAGAGCACTGAGTTCATAGGAACAGTGTGAGATTCCAGACGAGTGAATGTTTACCTTCCACAAGAAGGGTTACAAATTATATTGAACCTTCTCAACCAACTTCAAGCCCAACCAAGGAAATCAGTTAAAATACACCTCATAGACTCTTGAGACACATGGTCTCATGCACCTATGTGATGCACTTTGCCAGACTTCACCTACACCCACACCTACACCACAAGAGTGGTTGAAATCAGTGTATTTACCCACCAGACACCACATGGGTATAATCGTCACAGTCCCACAAGTAGTCTTCTCCTCATTAAACTGGTGGAAAGGCATTCTGCAGGTGTGCAATGGCGTATCCATCTCTGCACTTCTACCTACCAAGACACTAGTGACAGACACATCCTCTCAGGGATGGCAGGCTCATCTACATCACCATCCATTTCAGGGCTTATGGTTCTCTCAGGAAGTCTGTCTCCACATAAATGTTCTAGAGCTCATAGCCATCCACCTGGCATGCAAGGAATTTCTACCACTATTCCAGGGATCCACAGTCAGACAACACCACAGCCAAGCATTATGTCAACAGACCAGGGCGAGCAAGATCATCTCTGCTCTGCCAGGAGGCCTTGTGGCTCCGAAATTGGTGCATTCTGAATTAAATCATGCCGTGTGTATCAGCTCAGTAGACAGTTCCCAGACAATCATGAGTGGGCTATCAAAGACTCAGTCCTACAGAATATCTTGTGCAAGTGGGGATTCCCAGATTCAACCTGTTTGACTAGAACAACAACTGCCAGACATTCTATTCCAGTGGGGCTCCAGCCCAAGCTTCCTGACAGATGCCTTCCTCTGCCTCAAACATGATGCATGCCTTTCCACTGATCCCCATGATACCAAGGCTTCTGAGGAAACTAAGGTAAGATGCAGAACTGATTATTATGAATTCCACCTGGACTTCAACAACAATTTCCACCCCACCATCAACCTCAGCCTGGACCAGTCCACACAAGAGATCCACTTCCTGGACACTACAGTGCAAATAAGTAATGCTCACATAAACACCACCCTATACCGAAAACCTACTGACCGCTATACGTACCTACATGCCTCCAGCTTCCATCCAAGACACATCACACGATCCATTGTCTACAGCCAAGCCCTAAGATACAACCGAATTTGCTCCAACCCCTCAGACAGAGACTAACACCTACAAGATCTTTATCAAGCATTCTTAAAACTACAATACCCACCTGGGGAAGCGAGGAAACAGATTGACAGAGCAAGACGGGTACCCAGAAATCACCTACTACAGGACAGGCCCAACAAGGACAATAACCACTGGCCAAGAACACCACTGGCCATCACATACAGCCTCCAGCTAAAACCTCACCAGCGCTTTATCCACGATCTACAACCTATCCTGGAAAATGATCCCTCACTCTCACAGACCTTGGGAGGCAGGCCAGTCCTCGCTTACAGACAACCCCCCAACCTGAAGCAAATACTCACCAGCAACTACACACCACACCA